AGCATTTGGCTGAGGTGTCCAGACTTGGACTAGAAAGCTTACTACTCCTTGATTCTGATCAGGATCGCTGCCATGGTCTGGATACGAGGTGTCCTTCCCAAAGCCCATGTGTGAGACAAGGTGAGAAGGTTCAGAGGTGAAATGATTAAGCTAGGAGAGTTGTAACCTAATTGGTGGATTAATCCACATGAAGGTACAGGCGGGTGGTGTGTGGCTGGAGGAAGTAGGTCACTGGTGACGTGCCTCGGGGGTTGTATTTTTTCCCTGGCACCTCGTTCTCACTTTGCTTCCCGGCTGTCATGAGCAGGTCTCTCTTACCACACCCTTCTGCCATGATGCTCTGCCTTACCTCAGGCCCAGAGCTCTGGAGTGGCCTTGCCAAAGACTGAACCTCTGAAACCGTGACCCCCAAATCAACTTTCCCTCCTCCAAGTGGCTCCTGTCAGGTCTCTGGGTCACAGCTACACAGAAGCTGACTAGCACAGTCACAGGGCCTCCAGCCGTCACGTTGTTCCCTTTCTTCTTGGGTCTTTCCTGGAGCTGCAAACAAAGCAATCATGTTCAGCCCTCGAGAGCCCTTCGTATTCTTGGGAGCAGCTCTTCTTTCTCCTTCAGGCCTCACATCTCTGGAGGAAAGGAAAGGAAATTTACCTGGATTTTTTTTTTCTTTTTTTGAGTTTTGTTTTGCTTCTTCTAAACCTGGTCGCTTTGTCCAGATTGTTTCTGGCTTGAAATCAATAAGCTGTGGCAGAGTGTGCGGGTGCAAAGCGCTGGGGTAGCTCCAGGCACCTGCAGGAGAGGAGGCCTCCCACTTAGCAGAGGTGGGCTGGGGAGTGGCCCAGACTGCCCCCGCACAGCCCTGAGGAGACCCGGGTCCCCTCCACCCTCAACTGCTTCTCCACCCCATGCTCTTGGCTCACCTCTCTGTTTAGGATCCGTAATTATGAGGAGCTTAAAAAATAAGCAGTTATCTGAGCTCTCACTGTGTACCAAGCACAATGTGTATTATCTCGTCGTATTCCAAGCACCTTTCTCACACTATCTCATTTTACCCTCCCAACAGTGAGGATTTAATATGGTTTAATTAATTATTGAATTAGCGGTGATTCGGTCAGGAGGAGAGCTAGTGCATACTGCGGACCTTGCTACGGGCCAAGAACTGCTCTGAGCATTTTCCACATAGTACCTTGATTACTCCTCAGCTGTGAGGCAGGTACTGTTCCTGCTTCCCTTGTATGGATGGGGAAACCAAGGTCCAGAGAGGTTAAGCGATTTACCCAAGACCCCAAAGCCAGCAGGCAGTGTTAGCTCCAGATTCTGTCCAGGGAAGTCAGCTACAGGGCCTCCCAGTTAACCGCCTGGTAGCTACGACTTGCAGAAAGTCTCATCTAGACAGGTGTTTTGCAGTGTGCAATGCAGCATGGGTAACACCTCCCCGTGGGAGACTCATGGGCCCATGACACAGGCCAGCTTTCGCATCCTGGTCTCTGGCTCCTAAGCCTCTGCTGAGGTCTTTCCAGCCCCGCACCCACAGCTAGAAACTGTCACGTGCCTGCTGCACATCAAAGAAGAGAGGATGTGGGCTGTCCGGTGTCCTGTAAATACCCACAAACAGCCGACTGTGACCCCAGGAACTCAGGGGCCACAGTGCAGGCCACCCGTGCTGGAGGGGGGAGGTCGGATGGGAAGAAGGAGCAGGACCCACCCACGGGGCCACCACAGTGGTTGCACATGCTGGCTCCTCGGAGCAGTGGGCACAGCGTCGTGACCAGCACGGAGCCTGATGCTGGTCGTGGCTCTGACTCATGCAGCCTGGAGAGGGAGGATTCTGCTGTCAGACTGAGGGCGGCTGTGAGGATGGGGTGCTTTCAGCAAGGAAGGGGAGAATCACTCTGCCGCACACAGTTCTTTCAGAAGTCACTTGCTGCACACTTCACACCCCCAGGGCCCAGGTTTTGCAGGGGATGCCACCCGCCTGCGTTCCACACCCACAGTCCCATCGTGGGCGTTCACGTGCCGAGTCCGGCTGGCACAGGAGGGTGGGAGAACATCTGATCCCACTGTGCACTTCCGTTGATGTCGTTCAAACTCAGGCAAAACTGATCCAGGGCAGTGGACGTCAGTCAACAGCGTCTCCCTTGTGGAGTATTGTTGGGGGCAGACAGGGAGCCTCCAGGGCTGCAGAGCTGCAGGCACCTTCTGTGTCTCAACCGAGGTGGTAGTGACGCGGGTGTAGACAACATGTTCACTGAGCTCCACACTTCTGATTGCTCTCTGCTACCTTCAATTAAAATCACCAACCAACAAACGTAGGTCCAAGGTGACAAAGACCCCCAGTGGCCTGCCATCAGCCCTCACGTGCTCCCATCAGTCCCCAGTTGCTGACCTGCGTTTTCTTGGATCCCAGTCAATCCAGCAAATATTCGAATGTGTGCATATGGCCTTGAGTTCTGGGGACTCACAGACTCATGCATGCATGGATTCATTCAGGGACTTGTTTTAATACCCAGCCCCTTGGGAACACTGTGACTGGAAGAAAAAGATATCCCTGCAACGGAGAGTTCTGTGACTGGGAGCTGTTGGAAATGACATGGCCTTGTCCTTGTTCATGTCTCAGCATCTGTATTCTCATGGGATTCTCACAACTCCACAGGAAGGTGGGTTCTGTTGGCCTCAGAAGAAAAAGCAGCAGAGGTAGAGTTCAAGTTGAACTCACCCAGGGCCAAGCACACCCAGGGCTGCCCCTGGTCATGGGGCTGGGCATTTGTGCTGGCAACAAGCCGAGTGACCAACTCCCCTTGCAGCCACCTCATCCTTAGGAAAATGTCTCCCTAAGCTGGCACATAGCTGAGCAGAGGCCAGACCAAGGTGGCAGAGGCCTGAGATGCTTTGGATGAAGAGGGTCTGGCTCAAGGCATAGAGTGACCTTGCTTCTTTGAGACTGTTCTCTCAGCTTGGGCTGCTGTGATTTGGAGAGACTGCACGGAACCCCCGCCTTGGGGCCTCCCAGCACCCGTCCTCATCCGGCCCTAACTATCCCCAACTCCTCCCAAGTATTCTTTCAGTCCGTTCACATCCAGCAAATACTCATTGAGAATTTTTTTTAAAAGACCTCAAACTGAGTCCTGGGCACCCAGAGACTCACTCACTCACTCACTCACTCACTCATTCATTCATTCATGGGGCAACTGTGTTCTTAATGCCACTCACCAAGCTGCACTGAGGTGGTGTCAGAAGTTCTCTTCACAGTGAATGAAATCGGTAATTCATTTAATGATAGCATTGTGCAAGGAAGGGAAGGAATGTCAGGGTGAGGCTCCGACGCCAGAGTGGCTGGGCAGGGCCTCACCTGGGGGGTAGTGGGAGTCGACCTGGAGGAGATGAAGAGTGAAGTCTTCCTTGGGAAGTCTCCGGGACCATCATTTCAGTGCCATGATTCTGTACAAGGCTGTCCGTCAATGTTCAAGGACCAGAGAGCAGACCAGTGTAGCTGGTTAGAGAGGGGGCCACCACCACGGGTAGGGACTTGGCCTTTCCCTCTGAGGAAGTAGCTGCTGGAGGGCTTAGCCCAGAGACCTGACATGCTCACCTGAGCTCCAACAGGATCCCTCTGCCACTGTGCTGATAGGGTGGGACCTCCCCTTGGGTGGCTCCTACATTGGAAGGGGCTGCTAGGATGCTTGAACATGAGAAATTCAGGGTGCTCTCCATTCAAAACAGGCGTGGCATGCAGGGTGTGCTCTGGGTCCCCTAAGAAATTCAGTACATCAGAGCAGGAAGGCTAATACGAGAGGGGTCGTGAGGAGGCAGAACCACAGCCGAGGGCCCCCCCATCTCCTCCCCTGGGAGCTGCACTGGGTCCTCCAGGCCAAGGTAGCTGCGTGACCGACTGTGTCTCCAGCATTCCCTGGCTCTAAGGTGCAGAATGAGGTGGAGACCAGAGGCAGGGAGACCTAGTTGGAAGATACTAGACGCGTCCAGAGCAGGGGTGATAAGCCTGACTAAGGTCAGCAGGGTGGAGCAGAGGGGGTGGGTTTGAGACCTGTCTTGGGGATACACTGTGTTATGATTTGGATGTGGGGTGTCCCCCCAAAACTCCTATTAATGCAGGGTTACTCAGAGGTGAAGTGGTTAGAGTGTGAGAGCCCTGGCCTAAGCAGCCTGTCCTAGTTTGAACGGACTGACTGGGCGGTACCTGTGGCAGGTGGGGTTGGCTGGAGGAGCCTGTCACTGGGCGTGTGCACCTGCAGCCCCACCATGAGCTGAGCAGCTTTCCTTCTCTCTGTCCTTCCCCATGATGTTCTGCCTCACCTTGGGCCAAAGTAACGAAACCGGCCATCAATGGGACCGAGACCTCTGAAACCGTGTGCCCCTTGTTCTTGAGTATTTTGGTCCCAGCCGCAAAAAGCTTAACTAAAACAGATTGGGTAGATGCAGGGATATGGGAGGAGACCCACCATGGGTGGCAAGTGTCACTAGCAAGGCAGGACAGGTGGGAGGAGAGAGTCTGGTTGCAGTTGCAGGGTGAGGGGGCAGCAGGGAGCAGCAAGCCCACCTGCCCTGGTCTGGTTCGACCAGAATGTTCCAGGCTCCTGTGACTTCACAAGTTTCTTCACTATTTAACTGCCCCCATTTTACATTTGGGGAAACTGAGGCAAAGCAAACAACAGGAGCCCTCCCAAGTGGAAGAGCATTTACGTGGCAGAACCAGAGCTGGGATCTGAACCCAGACAGGCTGACTGCAAAGGCCACACCTGGCCAGCACACTGTACCGCCTCTGTGTCAGCCCCAGCGAACCCCACCTTCTGGATTCAGGCTGATGGCTGTCCCTCAGGAGGACACAGGATAGGTGGCTCTGCACCCCAGGTCCCACAGCTGTGACCACGAGGGAAGACATGGAGCTCCTCATGAAGCCTGCTTAGCTGCGTTTCCTTCAAGGATTGTGGTGCTTGTGGCCTCTGGACTGTTATTTCTCCTTTCTGTAGGGCTTCCCGGAGAGGATGTCGCCCCCTGCTTCTTGTCTTAAGACCACTGGCTGTCGACACCAGCCAGGGCTGTGGAACACAGCACCACAGACTGGCAGCTTCCACAACAGAAACTTGTTGTCTGGGTTCTGGGGCTGGAAGTTCAAGGTCAAGGTGAGATGGTGCATATGTGTTAAGCAGAATCAGTTCCTCCTGAGAACTGTGAAAGAGACCACAGCTTCTAGTGTTTGCCGACAGTCCTCGGTGTTCCTTGATCTGTAGAAGCATCACCTGACCTCTGCCGTCGCGTTCCAGTGGCACTCTCCTTGTGCGTGTGTGTCCATACCAAAATTCCGCCTTTTGTAAGGATACCAGTCATACTGGTATAGGACCCACCCTAATGGTCTTATCTCAACTACATCTACTATACTGGGGGGTCAGAACCTCAAGCCTGTAATTTGGTGGCAAAAGAGGATGCAATTCAACTCTTAACAGCACCTATTGTGTGCTTCCATTTGTACAAAATATCCAACATATTTGTAGAAACCGAAAGAAGCAGATTAATGATTGCCAGGGGGAGAGGGGACAAGGTTTCTCTTTTGGAGTGGTGAAAATATTCCGGAACTGGGACATGGACTTAGAAAGAGGGGGTTAACTGAGGTTACATAACCGCTAAGTGGTTAAGCAGGGATTTGTTGCAAAGTTTGCCTTCTTTCTCTTACGACTGGATTAGAGTGGAGGTGTCTGTTGGGACACCAGATTTGGGTTCTCTGAGCCCCATTTTCCTCATCTATAGAATGGAGTCAGCGCGTCACCTTCCTCTTCCACCCGTGAGGATTCAGAGAGAGAATGTGTGTCAGGGTGGCTGGTATGTTTTGAGTGCTCAATAAATGGTCATCAGTAATATGTCAGTCAGGGACTGTCCAGGAAAACAGAAACTGCTTTGTGTCTTTCCAACAGGGGGAATTGAATAGAGGGAGTTGATAACTGGTGACGGAAGCTGAGAAACCACACGGGGGAGCCATCTGGCACCCAGATGTGAGCCGCTACAGGAGCCTTTACACCCCGTGTTGGAGAGAAACCAGAATAAGGCGGTTTTTGTCTGAGGCCAGAGGCCAGGCCACCCAGGATCATGGGGGAAGCAGGGACCACAGAGGCAAGGCTTTCTAGAAGTAACTGAACCCCCAGAGGAGACACAGCAGGGACCAGATACACTGTCCGATGGATAAGAGAGAAACCCTGACTTCTCCCTTCCTACCTCTTCTTTTCCTTCACAGCTTCCCATTGGCCAAACCTGCCCGGAGACAAAAGCAAAGAACCCCAGGAAGTGCAGTTCTCTGGGGCACAGGGAGTGGCTAATGGTGCACTTGGCGGGTGATCCGTGTTTCCTGTTGGCCTCTCCGCACGATACTGACACTGACGTGTCCCATCTGGGACACTGGGGTCTGCATCATGGGAGGGAAGCAGAGTCGTGGCACCTGTATATGTGTGTATGGCTACAGAGCCACCATCCTGATAGTCCCTGACCTGGTCACATGACTCCCCATGTACATACCTGGGCACAGGGGAGGCTGTCACATTGCGTCTGAAGCTGCATCTGCCTTTAAGCCCTGTGGCTGTGGTGGAAACACTCAGGCTGGAGACACGGCAGGACTCAGAGCCCTCTCCTCTGAGATGCCCTGGGACCCATCAGTCTGGTCACCTGAGCCATCTTGCATATGCGTCTTCCTCCTCCAGACTGCTCCCAGTGGGAGAGAGGACAGAGTTGCCCAGAGAGAGCAGAAGGCCCTGGGACCTGCAGCGCCAGCTTTCCTTTGAAGCAAGGAAGCGGCTTTTCTGTTTTTCTTAGAAACCTGGCTCCAGCACCAGGGATGTTGAGCATCTGCCTGCCTCTTGCCTTTGCAAGAGGCATCCTGTGGAGCCAGCCCTCTCCCTCGTCACCTGCCCCTGTCACCTGTCCCCTTGCCCGAGTTGTTCACTTGGTCCTACCCCTTACCCTCCCACAGCACCCAGCAGCCCATGGTCTCTACTATTCTCCAGAGGGTCTTGGAGGACATGGGACATCACAGGGCACTCTTGTCTCTCAAGTCAGAACATTCCAGAACTTTCTTGGCAGAGGCTCCTCATGTCTGGTTCTATCATATGGAAGGCATCAAAGGGGCAGGGGCACCTGATAAGCAGAGAAGAGAAGGCTGCCAAGGGCTATTTAGTCTTGTCATCGTTAATGTTGGGGAGTGTTATAGATGAGTTATGTCCCCCCCACAAAGATGTCTGGGTCCTTGTAAATGTGACCTTATTTGGAAATAGGGTTTTTCAGATACAATCAAACTATCCTCAATAAGTCATCCTCAATAAAGGTAGGCCCTCATCCATTACCCTGGGTCCAAGAAGGAAGAGCAGAGAGACATACAGAGGGGAAGCCATATGGACATGGGGGCAGGCCAAGGGCCACCAAGGACTGCCACAGCCACCAGAAGCTAGGGGTGAGGCATGGTATAGATTCTTCCCTAGATCCTTCAGAGAGAGAGAGAGAGAGAGAGAAAGAGAGAGGCTCTGTCGACACCTCTGTGTTCTCCAGAACTAACAGAGTCAAGTTCTTGTGCTTTAGTCACCCAGTTTGTGGAACTTTATCATGACAGGCCTCTAGAAACTGATGCATGGAGACCCCACCAGCCTCCTGAAAGTTCTCCCAGGTCAGGCCCCAAGAGTGGCGAGCCTCAAATTCCACACAATCCTGTTAGCCACTGTGAGTGGACAGCTGGAGGCTGAGGATGCGTGTGTACCATCTCATCCAGCCCTCCAGCCAACCCCATGCCATGCGTACCACTGGTGTCCCCGTTTATGGTCCAGGAAACTGAGTCTCAGGCGAAAGGATTCTCCCCAGGTGACGTGGATATCTTTCCTTCTTTCTGGCCAGTGGCTCTTTGCAAAGCCGCAGTGCCCGCCTGAAGGCAGGAAGAACTCGTGAGACACCCTCCTTTTCTAGGCTTCTTATCATGGGACCAAAAGTTAGTGACTTAAAACAGCACAGACTTGCCTCAAGTTTCTGTGGACTGGGTTTTGGTACAAACTCAGCTGGCTCCTCTGCTCAGGAGTCCCAAGGCTCTAATCAAGGTGTCGGGAGTTTGGGGTCCTCTTACAAGCTCACTGGTTGTTGGCAGGATGGTGGGGGGGGGGTGCGGTTCACAGTTGAATGGCTGAGGCCCTGTTCTCTTGCTTGCCATCAACCAGGGGCCTGGAAGCTCCTAGGGGCTGCTGGGGTTTGGTGCCACGGGACCCCACTGGCAGTTCATTTTAAGACTGTTCCCTTGCTTCCAGGCCCTGGGGAACATGACTCCCCCTCCCCCACCAAGGGAGTCCTATTACATAATCTCATCAGTATATTCCCAGGTGCCACCCACACTCCAGGGGAGGGCATTACACAGAGGTGCACACCAGGGGAGGGGGTTGTCTCAGGCCACCTTGGGATTCTGCCTGCCACAGCTGGAAGGGGCTTGGGTGCAAAGAGTGCTTTTGAGAAACTTGACTCTGAGTTCTGGCTCTGTTTCTGATTAGGAGGGTAATCTTGGGGAATTTTCTTCCACACTCTTTACATCTGAGCCTCCTTATTTATAAAAGAGGACGATAATCCCGGACTCACAGGGCTGTTGTGAGGATTAGGTGAGCTCAACCATAAAGCGCTGGTCCTCGGCCGGATGCTCAGTAAATGGCAGCTCGCCACCCTTCTCTTTAGAGCAGGGAAGCGCACGGGCGCGTGGTCCGCGTACCGGCTCCAGCCTGAGCTCCGTGGTTTCTGCTGCCCCTTCTCCTCGCAGAGGTCAGGATCAGCAGCTTCGCCTGGTGGTAGAGGAAGATGAGCTGAGATGGGGAGGAAGCCCAGTGCTGCCCTACCCAGAAGCCAGGAAGCCACACCCGAAGGCGGAGCCAAGCCGGGCAGAGGCGTGGCCCCTGGGGGAGACCTCTGCTCCCACGTGGCCCAGGGGTTGCTGCGTTCGGCAGCCCTGGTGGGTGTCCTTGGCTGGTGACCATTGGTAGAGCCTTCTGCAGACTGGCGGTGCCCCTGCTCGTGGGCAGGGATGCCAGCCTCCCCATTCCGCCCCCAGCAGTGAGCCCCGACTGTGACCAGACGGTTCCCACCCCACACGCCCAGGATCCTAGTGAACAAAGGAGGCGTCCCTCCAGCGGTCGCCAGAAACCTGGCCCTGCTGTGGGATGTGCGGATCACCAAGGGAGGCAGGCGTGGATCTGCAGGCCGTTTGCTTTCCCACTTCAAAGGAGAATGGCAACTTGAAATTCCGCTGTCGGATCTGCATCTCCAGCCTCACCCCCTGGCGCCTGCTGGAATAGATGCTTCCCTGCCCGCTCAGCTGCGCCAGTCTGCAGCGCTCACCTCAGGGGTGACCTTCCCCACAAAGCCTTGGCCATTTCCAGTTTCCTCCCTCCTCTGCATTCCTGAGGCTCCAGATTTGTGCCCAGACCTAGGTGGTTGAACCATGTCACAGGGTACCTGGTTGTCCCCCCCCGCCCCAAGCTCCTGGAGAGCAGAGCCAGTTGCCTCCTCTGGGGCCCTGGAACACCCATGTCAGTGGGCTCAGTAAATGTCTGCTGACTGGATGGACATGGCCCATCTTTTGGGGAGGAGATGGGGACAGGGGTCTCTCCCACTCTTTCCCAGTACACAGTTGTTCCCCAGCATTCACAAAGGATGGGTTCCAGGAACCCCCTCAGATACCCAAATCCAAGTATGCTCGAGTTCCTTAAATAAAATGGATAGCATTTGCATATAAAGTGCACCCTCCTGTGAACTTTAAATCATCTCTAGATGATTTGCAATAACTATTGCAATGCAAATACTATTTACATAGTTGTTATATTGTATCATTTAGGGAATAATGACCAGGGGAAAGTCTGTATTCATACAGATGCAATTGTTAATTGTGTGTGTGTGTGTGTGTGTGTGTGTATCAATACTGGGAGTTGAACCCAGGGGCTCTCTATCTCTGAGTTACACCCCCAACCCTTTTTATTTTTTATTTCGAGGCAGGGTCTTGCTAAGTTGTGGAAGCTGACCTCGAACTTGGGATCCTCATATCTCAGCCTCCCGAGTCGCTGAGATCACTGGCATGAGCCTCGGTGCCTGGCTATGTGTATTTGTCAATCGAGAGTTGGTTTAATCCAGAGACGTGAAACCCTCTAATATAAAGAGCTATCTGTACTTCTCTCTTGGGAACCCCACACTGGGTCAATCCAAGAATCTGTATGGATATTTGTGAAGTTTGAGATAAGAAAGCCTGTTGGGCAGGGGCCCCCACTTACTATCCACCCATCCATTTGTTCTTTCAACCCAATGCTCGTTCTCCCAAGCAACTGTCACGTAACAGGGTTCTTCCGACAGCACCAGAAGGGCCCCACCCTGCCCACCACACATCCCCCTTCTCAGTGTTTAGACATCTTAGAGCACCACAGTTGGATTGGGGGAGGGTCCGGTGGGAACCCTCTATGCAGACCACCAGGAAGATCTGAGCTCCTCAGAGGCCACCTGTGTGGTGGGGGCTTCCTGAGCAGGTGACAGAGTGGGAGGGACTGTTGTATGGCGCTGCTTTCTCAGACAGGATCTAGCCTGGATCTGGGGGCCCATCTGGGCTGGTCCACAGGGACACTCCCCAGACCCTGCCTAGGCCCCAAGTCTAATTTTGCATCTGTCATTGTGTGTTCTTTTTCTTAATAAAAAGACATCGTTTTGTGTCTAATGACACAAACCTGAGGGCCCAGCACAATCTGGTCTTGCCCTCAGCTGGGCCATAGATAGCAACGTCACCCAGACAGGACTCTCAGGAAGGTGGGCTCCCTCTCTGTGGAAGCACTTGAGGAGAGGAGGTATCGGCCCCAGAGTGGGGATGGCCACCTCCACGCATGTGTCAGTGTCTCCCTTGAGCAAGGGAGGTGGGGATGGGGCAGTGGCTTTGGACGTAAGCAGGGCAAGCCCCCAGGGTTGCAGTCGGGGACCTTCCTGGATGGAGTGCCTGCTGGCCCTGTAGCCCCCCACCCCCAGGCCAGGTCAGGCTCCACAATAAGGAGCATGAGTGCATTTCCTTTTCTTTCTCCATTCTCTGTCTCCCCAGACTGTAAGAAACACCCGCATCAGACTGACCTTTCAGTCCCTAGTGACTAATGCCTGCCAGCAAGGACAGAGCCCTCCAAACCTCGCTGCTCCTGAGGTTTTGAGGGCTATCCCACAGAGAGCACCCACCCTTTCCCCAGCAGCCCCCAGGTCAGCAGCCAGCCTGCTCCACCCACCCGGCTGGGACCTCACCCTGGCCCATGTGGCCCCCAGCAGGCTGCCCCAGGGTGAGTCTGCTCATGGACCCCAACCCCCCAGGACTCAAGGCGCGCCTGGCTCCAGCTCGTGGGGCCCGAGGTTCACAGTGGGTGCCGCGTCACAGAGCCTGGCGTTATCACTGAGAGGCTTTTCATCATTTATGAATGAGCGCTGGCAGCAGCCCTGCGAACTGGGGCTCAGTGGGAGGTGAGGGCTGAGCTGGGCAGGCAGGGCCCGGCTCCCAGGCAGTGTCACTCTGGAGCTAGAAGATGCTTTGCGCTGCTCCTGCTGCCTGTGGGCCACACCCCACGAGCTTCTCTTCCCAAGCAATGAGCATGCATCTGGAGGCAGAAGGCAGCTCCCTATCCCCCCTGGGGCCGGGATTGTGGGGCCACAGTCATCCACCCAACTCTTCACTGTTGCTGTGCCAGCCAGAGCTCCCTGGTCACGGGCTCACCCACACAGAGACAGGTTGGCCCCCTGCCACTCCAGGGCAGAAGCATTTCTGTACTGGGGCTAAAATTGACAAGGTCCCCCTCTCTAGAGGTGGACACTTTGTCGAGGGCACAGCAGGCCCTGTGTCAGGATCTCTCATGGCCTAAGCCTCGGCCTTCCGGGCCTGTAATGATCCTGGCTGTTGTGAACAGGAAACTGAGTCACAGGGGGTTAAGCACCTGCCATGGCCAGCGTGGAATGGTCTCGGCCAGGCTGCCCGGTTGACCTCTGAGTGGCCCTGCCCTGCCCACCATGAGGACATGTGCTGGGTGCCATGTAAGAGGTGTGCACTTGGGGGCCAGGTCTAATCGAGTGCTGAGCCTGGCTGTCTCCACGTGCTCTTTCTGTTACTTTCCTCTTCTGCAAAAATGGGAAGAGCAGTCCCCATCTCCTGGACCCCTTCAGAAGCATAGCACTTCCTGTCATTGTGCTGGTACAAAGTTGGCACTCAGCTCCTCCTCTGTACCTTCTTGGAGGCCGGTGGGAGACAGAGGGTGACAGAGGGCTGTTGCTAGGACGAGGACAGGGGAGTCCTGGCATTAACATGAGGGCGGGAGGCCCTGGATTCACCTGTCCTGGATTATCCGGAAGCCCCAGCCTTGGCATGCCGGTGGAGAGAGCCACCTTGCAAAGGACATTAGACTTCATCAAACATCCTTTTTATTTTTTTCTTTAATTTCCCCCAGGGCCAATTTCAAATCAAGTTTAGTCTGGTGTCTAAAGGTGTAAAGCCCACGACTCAGGGTCAGCAGGTGGAAAACGTCCGGGCCTCGGTGGCTCTGGCTCCCGGCCAAGGCCCTCGTACGGCTGACCTGGGTCACGGCACCTCGACAAGCTGCATTTTCCGGATGACACCTGAAGCTGGAGGTCTGGGGACTGTGGCTTCTGTCTGACCCGGAGCGGTTCTGCCAGAGAACTCAAGATGCGCCGTTCACATGTCTGGATCCGGATTCCAACCAGAGGAAAAATGGCTTAATAAATAATTAAGCCATTAAGCCATCACAGGGCTGCTTCTCACGGTGCCTGAGAACCTGCCTCTCCACCCCAGCCCAGGAAAAGGGAAGCCCAAACCAGGGCAGGGTGGAACCCGGCACAGTAGGGTCTCAGAGACCCTGGGAATGCTGAGAAGCATCTTCTCAGAGTGGACCAGCCCTTTTTTTTTTGTACCAGAGACTGAACCCAGGGATGCTTAACCACTGAGCCATGTCCTCAGCCCTTTTTATATTTATTTTGTGACAGGGTCTCCCTAAGTTGCTTAGGGCCTTGCTAAATTGCTGGGGTTGGCTTTGAACTTGCAATCCTCCCACCTCAGCCTCCCAGGCCGCTGGGATTACAGGCGTGCACCACCATGCCTGGCACGATGAGGCAGCCTTTCTTCAGAATCATCAAAATATTAAGGATTGAGTTCGGTGTGCATGGTGTTGAACATGGGATGTAGGCAGGCCGCTGTGTTTTCTTCTTGTGTTTTGCTCATGTGGTCATGTGTTCAGCCTGTGGACGGGGTGGTGAATTCACTTTAGTTTTAGAATTGATTAAAAGGGACCTTGTCTGACATCTAGTCACTCTGGATGCCGCACTGGTCCTCAGGGCACAGTCCAGCTATTCAACTCTAGAACATTCGTATTTATCATATTACAATCAACTCGGGCTTCCAGGAGTGATTTGTTGACTCGAGAGGACTAATGACAAGCCACTCATTCCACTGGCGTTTGATGGACAGAGGTGTTGACGTCCTGCCTGCCTGGGGCCTTAGCTTCCGAGCTGGGCATTCTGGTGGCTTTCTTGGAATATTTCACCCACTGGAGGGAAGAGGAGGGAAGTGCAGAGGAGATATTTTTCCACCTTTTACAAGGAGATCAAGAGAGAGCAGTGCCCTCTAGGTCCCCCGCCCCACAGAGGCTCTCTTTAGAGAAGGAACATCAGTGAAATTCAACCACATGAATCAGGCAGAGATTTGAAGACAGGTAAGTGTCAGAGATCCCCTCTGAGTCAGGGAGCGGGACATGATTCCAATACAGTGCATGAGGCTGCAGTGATGGGTGTTCGGAGAGCACTGGGAGTCCAGTGGTCCCCAGGTATCCATTAGGGACTGACTTCAAGATCCTTTGTGGATACCAAAGTCCAAGATGCCCGATTCCCTTGTATAAAACAGTGTGTAGCATTTGCATGTAACCTGTACATATCCCCTTGTATACTACAGATCATCTCCAGATTCCTTACCGTGCTGAACACGATCTGTGAACATAGCTGTTTCACTGTATGGTCTGAGAAATAACAAGAAAAAGTCAGTATGGGTGCAGGACAGATGCATTTTTTTTCCCTGAATATTTTGGATCCTCAGTTGGTCGACTCGGTGGAGTCAGATCTCCATGCAGATCCATGGCGCAAAGGGCAGGCTGTAAGCCAAAGGAGGCGGGGTCAGGCCCAGGAGGTTTCTTGGAAAGGGGTGGCACCTGATGGGATGAACTTTGAAAGTTCACAGGAGGACAGGGAGGAGGCAAGCTCCCGGTCAAGGGAACAGCCCAAACCAGAGCACAGCTTAGAGGAGCTTGGTATGAGTAAGGAGCCTGGCAGAGCTCAGTGGTCGGAGGACAGGGCCAGAGACACGGGCCCAGAGCAAGCAGTTTACAAGGGCTGCAGGAGACGGAAAGCCATGGACACACAGTGGCCAGGGTCCTGTGTCAGCAGATCACTCTGGAAGGTTTTGAGGGAGGCCGTAACAAGGATACTAGTTAAAAGTTATGCAAACGAAGAGCAGGTGCTGAGGATGGAGAGGAGGGGTGGATCAGAGGCACCGTCAGATCGCAAGGCTGGCTGACCCATGAACTCCACAGGAGGATGAAGACGAGGGACGGTCAGGATACCCTCCAGGGAGGACCCCCCTCGAGGGGTCAGTGAGACAGTGAGGGCAGGGTGGTGGCTTAGTCTGCCATCCCGCATCCAGGTCGAGGTGTCCCCTGGGCACCTGGGAGGAACCCATGGACCGGGGAGTCTGTTCAAAGAGAGTGTTCAAAACCAGGAGGGTGCAGAGGTCACCAGCAGGGGAAGGAGGATGGGCAGTGAGGGCCGAGGAGGAACGTTGTCTGCCCCTGAGGAGGAGACTGAAAGACGGAGGACCAGTGAGGAAGAGCTAGGAGCTTGTAGAGAGCAAGGCCCTGGGCGCCAAGGATGTAGCTACCAGGCAGAACTGAAAAGGTCAAGGGTGTTGGGTGGTTTTCCTTGAAATGTCAGGGTTAGGGCACATCCGAGCTGTGCTTCTTTTTTATTGACACATAATCAGTGTGTCGGGGGCCAGGGGGGGCTACAATGTGATGCTTCTGTACAAGACATAATGGGCAGGGGTCAGATCAGAGTAATTGGAGTATCCGTCCCTTCGACGTTCACCAGGCTTGGGGGGAGACATCCAGCCATGGCAGATTTGGACCCTAAGGAGCTGAGGCAGAATTCTTCATGACGAGCGGTCAGATGTCTTGCCCAATCTCCCAAACCTCAGATCAAAATCAGCTGGTGGACAGTGCTGGCCGAAAGCCAGTTCCCCATCCTTCAGGGGGTCATCCACTGACCTGTGGGTACCCCACCCTGGGCAGGCAGCTCCTTGCCAGCAGGTGGTGTGTGCAGACCCTGCGCCAGGCCGAGGATAGTGGGTATACCCCTGGGCTGCCCATCCAATGCCACATTCTGGGTCCCTAGATGTCCTTCTCTTTCACCCCACCTCTGCCTTTCCCACTGAGTCCTTCCAGGCACATTTCCCAGGAGACATGTGGATGGCCTGGTGAAGGGGAAGCACTCCTGAGGGACCTTCCAGAACCTTCCATCTTACAGGTTGGGGGCACCTGTATGTATGTTTGCACATTTGTCTCGAGGTGGTAGAACACAGTGGTATAAACACTCGGATTCCAAAGATGACAGCTTGTGTCCTGGGCCCAGCTCTGCACTACTACCTGGGCAAGTCACTGAACCTCTTGGGGCTCCGTTTCTTCATCAGTAACATGAGAGGGTTGTCACGAGGACCAAAGGAATCTGCACCATGCACATATGACAATGAGTAAGTGTTAGCTGCTGTTATTCTGTGGCTGGGCCGGGAATGAAGAGTTAGCACAGAAGCAGTCCCTGACCCCCACAGACTTCGTCCCATGCCCCTTCCCCGGCTCAGACATCCAACAGAAACCAGGGCCACCACGGCCAACAATTAGGGTACAGGAGGCCAAGCTGGACGCGGAGGTACTCAGCAACTCTGGAGGTTGAGGCAGGAGGATCCCAAGTTCAAAGCCAGCCTCAGCAACTTAGAGGGGCCGTAAGCAACTTAACAAGACCTTGTCTCATAATAAAAAAATGTAAAGGGCTGGGGATGAGGCCCAGTGGTTAAGTGCCCCTGGGATCAATCCCCGGCACCAAAACAAAATAATGCATACTCAAAGAGGCTCTGGGTTGCAGCTGGGTGGCCTGCCAGGAGTAGGGCTTTATTTAGATGAATTAGCAAGAGAACCAACACCTGCCTCCCCAAAGGACGCTCAGTGGCTCTGGGAAGGGGTCAGTGGGTAACAGATTAAGAAGACGCCTGGAGAAGTTGGTGCCGCCTCCCTAGTCAGGTGACCAGTGTGGCTGCCCGGTGCCTCTTGCACCTTTTGCGGGCTCTCCCTCCGCCACCAGATCCGCCTCTTGCTCTGTCTTTGTGTGGTTTGTTTGCCAGGGTTTCTCTTGCTCAATGGTGGGGAGCTGGAGTACAGCTTCTCATTAACTTTTATCCTCCCCATAAACGGCCTGCTTAACTCACAGTGACAACCGCTCCGCTCGTCCCGGGGGTTGCTCCACGTCTGGCTCCCAGCCAGCCGGTCCTCTCCGCCTCCCGGCACCCCAGAGCCTGCCTGCTCGCCGGGCCCTGCCGCGCTGGTGGGGGGAAGGAGCAGCCTTTGCATTTTATTTACTGTTTTCTTTTTCAAGCAGCAAAAGCCTCAAAGCTTAGCTCCAGACCCCCTGGAGGAAACCCAGGCCCAGGGCGTCCAGCCTAGGAACTAAAGAGTCCCCCAGAAGGGCCAAGGGTACAGGGCACCTGTTCTGGAATCCATCAGCAGGTGTCCTGGGGTGGGAGGGATATGGGGGGACTTGACCATGGACACAGCCAGGAGGAAGTGAAGAGTGGTCCAGGGAAGGCCACTCTGGGAGGGCACTAGCATCCCTAAGCCAGGACTGCTTTCCAGGGGGCAGTGGGCAGTTAGTCTGAAGATGGACAGCGTTGGAAGGACACATTAGCCTCTCTGCACCACGTCAGCAGGTGACCTTGAGTGAGACCCTGTCCCAGAACCCAGATCCTAACTGGCCTTCCTACATCCTCTCTGGAGCACAAGCCAGTCTGAGCCTGTCACATTACTGATCTACTGCCTTCCTCGGCTCCGTGTGCCCCGCCCCCCCAGGCCTCCACGCCTTGCAGATCCGTCTCCTCCTTGGAGCTCCTCAGAGGCGCCAGCCTCTTCCCTCTGGGCCTGGACAGTGCTTTGCTGTGTCTGGGTCGTCCATCCATCTTCCCCTGCTGAGTCTCCTCCTTCAGGCTCAGTTTCCTCGTCCGTCCCCCGGGGGTGGTCTCCCTGACCTGCTGACAGGCTGCCCAGATGCCTGGTGCCTTCACCACCGCAGCCCAGCGCCCAGCCTGGTGCCTGGTATGTGGGAGGCTCTGGGTGGGCGGGTGTTGACTACAGCAGGGTTGGACAGGATCCAGGATCCCTGGACAGGCTGCTGCTCTTCCGTGCTCCAGGGGCCCTCGTGGGCATGGTGAAGTGGACGTGTCTCTCTGGCTCTGCAGAGAATGAACAGAATCCAAAAATAGTGACACTTTTCCTGGAAAGCCTCCAGTGGACTGGGCACAGGCATCGGGTGCATGGGGGGACCGGGGCGAAGGATGTAGACATCAGGTGTGACTGAGCAGCCCAGGCACACCGAGGCCTTGTCCAAGCCTGGGCTCTGGGGCCTCCTCACCAGGGGACCTAGAAGCACCAGGGTTCCGGCAGGTGATGGGGAATCACCACCGGCCACTCTGGTCCTCAGGTGCAGGAGGGAGCGCGGGGCCTTGATAACTGGGTCTGGCTTTGGAATCTGGCTGCACCAGAAGGGCTGCCCCCAGCCTTGGGGAACTTGGGGAGCAGATGTGTGCTCCTCAGCCCTGCCCAGCTGCCAGAAAGTGCCGGTGACGTGGCAGGTGTGTGCCTCCCAGACACTGACCTTCTCTGCCCCCCTCTTTCCTCTCTGATATCATCGGGATCTGAAATGTCCACCCAGAGCTCATTTGAGGAAGACTTGGTCCCCACCGCAGTGGTGTTCAGAGGTGGAGGCTTTCAGAGTGATGGGTCTCTGGCCTCATTGGTGGATTGACTCATTATAGATTTATAGCTTAACGGGCTCTTGGAAGGGGGTGGGAACATCAGGAGGTGGGGCCTAGTTAAAGAAAGTAGCTCATTGAGGACAGGCCCTCCACAGGTATGTTTCTTCCCTGGCCCCTTCCCCTGCCTGCCCACTTTCGCTCTGTCTGTCTCTGTCTCTTTCTGCCTCCCTACCTCTAGGAGGTGAGCAGTCTTCTCTGCCACATGCTCTCCCTGACATGATCTCCTTCACCGTAGGCCCAAAAGTAAGTGAGCCAATCGTTGTCTGAAACCATGAGCCAAAATAAACCTTTCCTCCTTTTAGGTTGTTTATCTCAGGTATTTTGTTACAGCAACAGAAAGCTGACTCTCACACTGTCTCTCTTTTCCAGCTCTCCAATGGAACAGAGAGACAGGGCAGCACAGGGTCGAGAGCTCAGTTCTTGCCAATCCTGGCTTGGCTTCTTGGGGCTGTGCTACCTTGGGCAAGTTATTTGCCTTCTTTGAGCCTTGGCTTCCTCATCTGTTTAAGGGGGTTTTAGGAGCTTCTACTTCATAAGTTATTTTTGAGGCTTAAGTGAGAAAACGGAAAGAGCTTAGCCCAGGGCTTTGAA